ACCGGCCAAGCATCCGCAGGTAAAAACGCAGTGACGACGGTATTATTTGTCTGGGTAAGCGCTCGCGGCGACGGTGACGCGGTGACTACAAGAGCGCCGACACAGGCAGAAATTCATCCCTCCGGAGAACGCCGTGACAGCGTACGCTCGAATGAGGTGTCTCAACACCAGCTTGTGTCACACAGAAGTGCCAGAGCAGACAGAGAGGTGGCAATACGTTATATGTTGGAATCCATCTAGCAATCGTTTTTATTTATTTATTTCTTTATTTTTCCAGGTTCACCTGGCAAACAAAAATCCTAAAAAAGTGACAGATTATTTTTTCCATGTTTGGGGTTGAACTGACTCGTCTTTGCATCAACTTAACCACTCTGCAATGACGGTTACTCCAGTGGACTGGCCAATGGCCAATCACATGTTTCAGCATCACCAACATGGACACCTCGCTGACATCGAACAGGTGGTCAGTGGTTGCAGCAAGCTAGCAGCGGTGCCTGAAGCGTGTGGAAATATTTGACTGAAAATAAGATCACTAGCACAGTCAGTGTGAAAATGTGCAAGTCTGCCCTCAAATATGTTTCATCACAAATCACAAACACCATCATGGTTTCACAAATAGTCAATCTGAAAAATGCTAGCAACAATCCACGTAATACGACCGATTAGCAACACTGCAGATGTGTTATCCCGAATTGGTGTTAGAGTTTGACAATGTCGGAGGGTGTCCGGATGTGAACGGTGGAGCCATAGTCTAAAATTCATGTTACTAGCTACTAAAGTAGCTAGCAAGCTAACACGTCTTTGCCTGTGACCAAATTTCTGAATGGCATACACCTGGCCAATTAAATGTTAAAATCAAAGATCCTCTTGTGGCTCATTTGGAAAGTGGAAATGCGTGTGTGTTGTTCGACTGAAAAATAAATAATCAGTCCCTTTTTTTCTTGTCAATTAAAATCGAAAAGAACCACTGTTGCTCCGATTCATTGACGGTATCTATGCTTGTTTTTTTTTTTTTTTTTTGGGGTGGTGGGGACTTGGCAAAAAGGTTTGTCCGTCGATGTTTTGCAGGCAATGCACCAATTTCCCTTCGTGCGCGCTTGGATAACTTTTTGTGTGCCGACATCGCTTTGTCTGGGAGATTAATCACCTTGGGAAAGAAAGCAGATTTGGAGGCAAGCGGCGACCTAAATACAGCAAGGAAGGGAGCAGTTGTTCTTGACTACAATTTAAAAAAAAAAAAAAGTGTGTTTGGTTTGCACAGCACGTCGTCATTTCTTTATCTTTCCGAGTTGAGCCTGGAATAATGTTCCCGTGATTTCCAAGGTCCTACCTGCTGAGCTGTTGCGATTCTACATCGACCCTCTTTCAGGGATGCTTAAGCAAGAACCGGATAGATTTGGAATAAGACAGGACGACCGGTGGCTTTGGTCATATCAGTTGACGCCACTCGACTGCATAGATTCTTCAAACAAATCATTCAATATGCCCGTTCAACATGTGCATTCATCATCAAGTGTGTTGGGGGCTGGCTAGGGGCTCTCCAGGACCGCACTTGAGCACAACTGCCACGACGCAAATCAATTATTGTGTTGTATGAATGGTAATAGGTAAAGAAACAGCTCAGGGTCCCTTCCGCTCTCTAATTGTTCTCCCTGTCATAATACGTCGCTGGCATTGATACGTGTATGAATGTGCATTATTTATTGAGTGACATATGATCATTTCCTGCTCATGGCACACTTCATGCTTGGTTCTGTGTCAATGAATATGACAAAAAAATTTTAGAGTAGTGGTTGTCAGTCTGAGATGTCCTCCATTACGATTGTCTCCATCATTTGCAAGCGCAAACACCTGCTGGTATGAAAGCCCATTATTTCATTCATTTGGTCGTTCCATTACGCCGCAAATTCATCTCCAGAGGCGCCCTCCAAGGTGAAGTGATGACATTGCACAAAGTTTCATTCATTTGGTCGTTCCATTACGCCGCAAATTCATCTCCAGAGGCGGAGAGGCTCCAAGGTGAAGTGATGACATTGCACAAACACGACACGGGTTTGATGGCGGGTGCGAGTAATAGGGATCGTGAGCGCGGTTTGTTTGGTCGGGTCTTGTTTTCTGTAAATTCATTTCCGCCGTGTGCTTTGTCATTGTTGTCACCTGCGTCTCATTAGTCTAATCAAGGCCCTCTCAGTCTGTCGCCTTTGTCTCACCTCCTCGTGCCTGTTGTGTTTGCTTCCCGACGTGCACAGCACGCACTTTACTTTTCTTGTCCCTCATGTTTAGCTTTCAATCATTTAGCCTTGTTTTTGTTTTTCTTTATTTCCCTGAAAACCACTCTCACAGCCGACTGCGCAATTGTTGGACTGCGGGCTCTAACTATTGACTAATTAGACCACAAAAAGGGGGCGCTTTAAGAGACAGAAGCTATGACATGAAATGGTGCTTAAATATACATAATAAAGCTGCAGGAAAAAAATAATTTTACTGAAATCAATATTTAATTTGAAGCAAGCTAATGATAAAGATCACAAGAGACGTGAATTTATTGTAACGGGAAAAATCTGGTGCCTGCTTGGTGATTACGATGGCTGAACCACCTGATTATTGTTGTTGTTATCACTCTTGCTATCATTTGTTGTTGCGTTGTCATTGGTGTCATTGTTACCGCAGCTGGTTTTGTGATAGCTATTATTTATTTTATGTTGTATTATTATATACAAAAAAAAAAAAAAAAAACATTACTCAGTTGCTACATCACACCTCTTGGTGAGCAGAAAATGCAAAGTGTGGTTTTCGTCACAATCTGGGCACACAGATTGTGAGTACTTGTGTGAGTACTTATAGGAATCTAAATCGCTAATTACATGCGAATGGAAAGTTTCCCTTGTGATTTTCCTTTCTAAACTTTGTTTAAGTTTTTCTTTTTTTTTTAATTTCATTGAGCCGCTTCCTCGCACTGTCAAGGTCGCCCCAGCTCGTCTCCTCTGACAATTTTTAGCTGCCTGCAAGCACCACAAAGGGAGCTCCCATCAAACGCGTGCTCTCCTTCTTATTATAATGATGGCTGTCAATGGTGATGGATTAGCGCATGCGTGATCAAGCCGCAAATAGGAAAGCCAGACGCTCTGCATAGCCGCCGCGTGCGCTTTGGGTTTACGGGCAAACCTATTGGAGTTGTTCATCAGGATCAAATGTCTCTCATCCATTTTCGCTGGCGTGGAGTGAAAATGAATCATGAAACATCTCCAGATATTCAGAGCTGACTCATTATTTTAGCCTCCGTCACAGTGCAATCAGGTATGGGCTCCAATTGTAAAGACGACAACGGAGTACAAACGAGATGAATGCAATCCCTTGGTCCAGCTGGTGGAAAATTCAAACAAACTGGACATCTCGAGAGGTTTTAGCAAAAAATAAACAATAATAATGATCATAATAATCATAATAAAATAAAAATCAGCTCAGGACCCAAAGTCATTCGGTTTGCTTCTACCCAGGATTCAAACTTGCTTCAATATACTGTCGACAGCATTACATCAAAAAAATCATCACGATCACAGAAGGCACGACTTTTTGGGGAGGTTCCAGTTTATTGCCATGAATGTATCAGTGAAAACCACTCGTCAGTAATATCAAGAATGTTGTGAGTGAGAGCGCCATCTTGGTATTAAAGATTTGTTGTTTGGGGAGACGAGACAAGAACTGAGCCGATGTTCAATAACCGGACCAAAGTCATGTTTCATGTTGCACAATCAACACCTTCTTAGATGTGATGATGCTACTACCTGTTGTGAAGGCACGGGTGCCTTTGAAACGCGCATGGCTGACAACCAGTCCAGGGTGGACCCCGCTGACTACCCGAAAACAGCCGGGACAGGCTCTAGCATGCCCACAATCCCTCGTGAGGGCAAGCGGCTCAGATAACGGAAGGGTGGTTGGTTGGATGGATGAAGAGAGACAGAGAGAGAGAAAAATCTCTTTCAAAGCAGCAGAATCAAACTGTCCCAATCGTCACAAAAATCAAGGCTAATTTGCTCCATTTGAGAACACAGCGGATCCACAGAAGTGATTAATTACGCCATTAAAACCATTTCCTGCGAGAGAGCTGACGCCACATTTCATAAAGATGCAAGTGTTGAAATTGAAAGGCTCCAAAAAAAAAAAAAAAAAAAAAAGGTAATGGCTCGGAGTGGTTGTTTTTTTTTTTGCTCCAAGTCAGGAACACCGAAGGGAGTCGGCCAATCAAAAACACTCCAAAGGGCAAAATGGAATTCAATCAAAGCCATTCTAATCGGCGCTGTTTTAATTGTTTATCAAAGGCTGTGGTGGGGAAAAAAGCTTTCCAGCCTGGACAAACATGAGACGGGCTTGATGGCTGACGCAGTCTGACTCGTTTCTCGGAAGCCTTATTCTGGCGACTCGTGGATGGCGCATTTTTGAAACAACAAAAAAAAAAAAAACACCTTTCTTTGGAAAAAAAAAATAAACACATTTTAAGTTGCATCCTTGCCCAGGGGCTCTCCTGAAAACCACTCTTTACCAAGAGAGATTTCTCACAGGAGAATAAAATATCATTTGCCCAAAAGTATTTATGCGCATTTTAAAACTGCATTTTCTTCCCTGTTTGGTCCGCACAATATTTACAGGATGCTGTCTACTTTTTGCGAGGTTGTGTCTTGAATCATCCTCGTGTTTTGGGTTATAAAAGAACTTTTTTTTCTTTTAATTAAGATTTTCCCCAGACGCAGTGAGGCCAACAAAACGCTAAATTGCACGTTAAACACGGTTTGGTTTGCAAAATAAAAGCTTCAACACAAAAATATAAATGAACGGTCATCAATGACCGCAACTTATCTCCTCATTTTTTTTCTGGATGAACCCGTTTATGCGGTTGACGCGCCCCATCTCCCTTAAGTGCTCTCCATCCATTTTTTTCATCCATTTGCGCCTTGCGGGGTAGCGCAGTTCTCGCTTGTCTTTGACAAGACAAGAATGAATCAACGTGCATAGTCCATATTTCTGGTCACAACACGCATCACTCTGCACATACGCACACATATATGTATATACACACTCACATATCGTGCTTCCCGGGTTTAAAAGCAAAAAATGACTATGTTCCCACTGTGCAACGGCCCGCTATTATCATCACTTAAGCGGGAGGAGAGGCGCTGGCCTTTTTCAACTAAAAGGCATTTGGAAACAAAAAAATGAAAGCACTTCATGGCAATACCATTCAAAACAAGACATGAAGTCCCACTGCACACCGAGAAATGCTGCCAAAGGCGAATGAACTGTGTGCGCTTCGATCAACGTCTCGAAGAAGACGGGGAAGATGAAGTCATAAGAGAGGAGGAGGAGGTCAGGAGCAGCACTCCTTGGCCAAATCGCCAGCCTCTTTGACCTCTTCGGTCTGGTCTCCGCCGACGTATGCCATGACCGATCCTCAGAAAGTGTTCTCCTGGCCTACTTCCGCTTTCTTGCTGTCGGGGGGCACCCGCGCAAGCTCTGGTCCAACAAAGGGAGAATGTTCAAGAGGAGTCCATTGACTACATGACTCCCAATTCTCTGATCCTCAAACGATCGTCAGTGGGAGGAGACACAGAAGACACGACCAAATCCTGGCTTGAAATGCTCACCCTTGAATAAAGCATCCGCATGTAATACACATGAGACCATGAAGGTTGCATATTTTTTTCTTTTTCAATGCGCACCTCGCTTTTGACATTCGATCGTGCTCTCTCCCTCTTTGGAGAGAAAACACGAATGGAGATTTGAAACCTTGAACTGCGGAACACGCTTTATGAATACCTCCTCCTTATGAAGATAATAACGAAGCTGGGAATTCGCCGAATCCTACACACCCTCGACAAAACCGTTTGGATCCGGAGAAGCCGCGAGTAAGAAATGTGCTCAGATGAATGTTTAAGACTTTGCCTCAACGGTGGCCTTTGAACACGACTCGCCCGAGTATGGGTGTGATGGAATGGTTGGAGTTCGTACGGCTCCTGCGTGCATGTGCTCCTGTGAATATGCATTAGCAATTCTTGCGTGTGAAAGAGAGCATGACTGGCAATAATGTCGGAAACGAGATTATTTGCATGTGTTTTTGAATGAGGCCGCTGCGCTCTCCCCCTCCTTGCGTTTAATCAAGCGTTTAATCAATTCGTTGGATACTGCGCTGCAAAAAAAAAAAAAAAAAGATTCCATCACTTCCAAATGATCCTTGGGCCTTTCGTTTACCAGCAACAAGTATCATCACACTCATGTCAGTTATAATTAACCCCATAAATATAAATATCCATCCATCTATTCATCCATCCATTTTCTAATCCGCTTATCCTCAGGAGCCTATCCCAGCTGTCTTTGGGCAGCAGGTGGGGGGGACACCCTGAACCGGTTGCCAGCCAATCGCAGGGCACACATAGACGAGCGACCATTCGCGCTCACAATCACACCCAGGGACAATTTCGAGTGCTCCATGAACCTGCCACGCATGCTTTTGGAATGTGGGAGGAAACCGGAGTGCCCGGAGAAAACACACGCAGGCACTGGGAGAACATACCGATACAGGAAGGCCGCAGCCGCAACCGACTGTCTTCTCCAGCATGGCTTTTGCAATGTTTTTATTTTGAATTAAAAAACATTTTTCTTTGTGGGTGTGGTTGGCACGTCGAACAAATTTTACACTCCTGAATGAAATTGGCCTCGGGGGCTACTTTTCCAAACATTCTACGGCAAGCGATATGGAGCCTTGGCATATCACTTCTGTCTTATTCACATTTTGGCATGCCAGAGTCGCTCAGCCTGTGACGGAAGATCTGACTCTAAAATATCAGTGGCAGAATTCCTGCCTTTTTGGGCAAGGCTTCCTGAGACTTTTTCATGGCTGTACTCCAACCATATTTCAAGCTCCTTGGTGAATCGACATTCGGGGGCTACGCTTTCTAGGTTGGGTAATGACCTGAACCTTCACTGGCTCCACACTGCAGGAATCAAAGTTTCGTCCTCAGCTGAAGGACAGTAAAAGCGCATCAGGAGTACAGTACACAAATAGAACCTTTGGAGTTGACCTGACGCAGGTGCTCAGCGGGCGACCGCCTCTCTACTCCATGTTATGATTCCTAGAGTGGCCAAACCCCACGGAAACGACATAAGGCCTGCAGCTGAGCCTCGTTGTTTGTACGATCGAGCCGGGGGGGGGGGGCCTCCGCGTCGCAGCTGATTGCGGTGAAAAGTTCTGCCTGTAAATCTCTATCGATTACCTTTTGCTGACTGTTCGCAGCTGAGCATTTGGCAAGCGCTTGATTCTGTCCGAGTGCTGCCCAAAGCACAAATACGTGTGGTGATGGAAGAGCCTTTCAAAGGCTTGGACAAGCGCGGCGCAAACCTCCGATGGTGCTCGGCCGCGAGGGGCAGACGTGCCAGCCCGACAGGCGAGCCGCAGTATTTATTTATCAGGAAATGTAGCGCTACTTCTCTGCTTTGCGAAGTTATGTCCGAGTGGAAGCTGACGTTCGTTATCCGAGTGAGCTGCCTCAGTCGTTGGTCTCTATTTATTTTTTAAAAATGCTTACACTCATAGCTGGTTGCAAGCGTTCATTTCAAGTCAAGTCAGTGTTGAGAAAAAAAAATAAATAATTATGAACAGCACCTTGAATTTGTGGAAAGGTGAGTTGAATTGTAATATTGGAAGTATTGCCTCCTAATAGGAGCCGCTCTTGGTCAGAGCGTTTTTGCATCTCCTTCCTCTAAGCGGCGGGAAGCCAAGAAGTTGGGAAAGCGCTGACTTTTTTCGAGAAGGCGAAAAGTCGTTGGGCTCGCCGACTGCTTGCATCAACAACAGGAGGGGGGGGCTTGAGGTCACTTTGCTGATGACTCCAAATATATAAAAGAAAGCTTTCCAACAGCTGTGGTGGCAAGTAACAAATCGTTTGGACTGAAGTAAACATTTCAGGACTCTGTCTTGAGTATTGCTTTTCGGATCGTTTTATTTATTTATTTAGTTACTTTTCGTCTCTACATTTGAAAAGTTGATATTTGTACTTTTGACTCTTTGGCTACTTTGTTAAAATAGGTTACTGTGTTCTTTTTTTTTTTTTTTTTTTAACGTTGGCAGATGATGATGATAGTGGAAAAAGAAGACATGAAGAGACAGCGGTAAAGTCAACGGCGGTGTTTGATTGATTGATTGATTGAGTTCTTGAGGACGACCAGGTGGGGGAAAAAAAAATATTCCAAACACTGGAGGCTTCATGTGGATATATTTTCAAACCTGGAGTTGTGCCATGTGAAGGCATTTGAAAAGATGCTAGATGAGGTCGCATCCATTTTTCCTGGTTTTAGACCTGATATTTGATTGACAGTTGAGCAGGCACGCTCGCACACCGTTTGAGAGCTCAGGCCGGTTTTTGTGTGTTTTGTGTGGGGTTTTTTTTTCAATTTTGAAACCTCATTTTACATACTTGCCGGTTGCCTTAATCATTTAAATTTGGTAGTTTTTTTTTTTTTTACAGCTTTCTTTTTGTAATAAAAAAGGGAAACTATTTTTGTGGGAAGGGCGTTTCAGGTTATTTTTCTTCAAGCTAACACATGGACTTTTTTTCAGTCATTTCTTTTTTTTTTTTTTTTTTTTTTTTTTT